AAAACGAATTTACTTAGTCCTCCTAATATGAAATAGATATTGTTATTATGTCCATTTTGCAGATGAGAAAACTGAGGCACAGAGAGGTTAAGTAATTTAACCAAGGTCATGAAATGAGTAAAGGCAGAGCCTGGATTTGAACGGTAGAAGGGCTGTAGACTTTGTGCTCTTTTTTATCATTATGCTCTAGTTCCTCCCTGTAGTGGGGATTACTCTGAGCCAATCATAATAACTCAATTTTCCTGGCCAGTGATTGGTTCGAGAAAGGCACATGCCTCACTTCTGGCCAATGAGATGTGAGTGGTTGTCTGCTAGGGGAGCTCTAGGAAGGGTTTTCTCTTTGATATAAAGAGATGTCTGGGAAACACAGTCTCCGCTCTTCTTGAAGTTTCATGGTGAAGCTGTCAACAGAGACAGCCAAGGGTCAAGCCTGAAGACAGAGGTCCATGCAAGGAGGGTGAAGGGCTGGAAAAACAGGGTCCTTATAAAGCCATCGAGCCACTGAAATAAGCAGCCCTGGAGCCTCCTGTTTTGTGAGATAAACATCTTTGCTGCTCGGGCAGTAGTTCTCAAACTTGAGCATTAGCATCACCTGTTAAAATACAGACAGCTGGAGACCCACCCCTGGAGTTTCTGATTCAATAGGCAAAACCAAGGATTTGCCATTTTAACAAGTTCCCAGGTGAGACTGATGCTGAGTGGTCTGGGGACCACGCTTTGAGAACCACTGTTTAGAGAATTTGGAGTTAAGGTTGTTCCTTGAAGCTAAAAGCATCCTGAGGCATCCTATGACCTGGAGCTGTGTGCCTCTCAGATCCTCTGGGGCAGGGGAGGTCAGGGGTCAAGGGTCAAGAAGGCAACCCCACATGGTGGAAGAAGCTGTAGAACAGGAGTCAGGAGCCCAGGATGCTCCATCCCTCCCTTGTGACCTTGAGCAATTCGTTTCTCCCCCGCAGGGTTGTTCCTCCATCTATAACATGGGAGAGAGGTTGTATGAGATTACGGCTAACTCTCCTGGCTGCAACATTTATTACTCCAGGACTCACCAAATGGAAAGGACTGACTGTGGGGATTCAGGCCGTGTCAAGCCAGGCCCCCTCATCATGCCATCAGCTTTCTCTTCCTCTCTCATACCCCCAGGATTTCAGATCCTGCAGCCTCAGGTGCTGAAAGGCAGAGGCAGGCTCCACAGTCATTTTTAACATATTAAATTTCCAGGCAGAAAGCTAATTTGGAGCTTGTGTTTGAGCCGGGAGCACAGAGGCTGGAAACTCCCCGCGGGGGGTTCGTTTCCCCCAGCTAAGCTGGGAGGTGTCACAAACCAGCATCTGAGGGGCACGATGCCCAGGTCTGTAGGAGCCATTCCCAGGGGTTCTCAATGAAAGATGTTGGGTAAACACAGACTTTGGCACAATGTCTCCCCCCACATTCAATCAGTCACCAATTACTGGCTTCCACCGCCTAAATGTCATTCACACCAGCCAGGCTCCCAGTCGCTCTGACTGGGCTTTCTGCTCCCAGTCTAACCCTCTGTGCCCTCCCAACTCACAGTGAACACCCAAGATGGCCTCTGGATAAAGTCTAAACTCCTATCATGGAACACCCACATGGCCCTTTACAGCTGGCCCCCGCCACAACCCCTGGCATTCCTGTGCCCTCCACACTCCAGCTAGACCAACCTACTACAGTTTCCAGAATGTTCCAGGCTGTGCCCCACCTCTGCGCCTTTGCACATGCTGTGTCCCCTGCCTAGAACACAGTACTTTGCATCCTTCCTCCCTCCACGCAGCCTCTTGGGTCTCAGTGTGGATCCCAGTGCAAATGAAAACGGGGGTCCTTGTTTGAAATGTATTGAGAATTTCAAGATGGCAACAGCAAAGCAGTAAACCAAGTTTGAGGCGAATCCTGGCTGAACCAATCTCTTTGCTGGGAATATAAATTGAGGACTAAGACCTTAGTTTGGGCAGATCTCTTGAATAGAGGGGTTGCAAAATCCTCGTGGTCCTTGGTGGCCGTGGCAGAGAAGGGACAGCAGAGCAGAGATGCAGCGAGTGACGTGGAGAGCAAGTCCCTTGAAGGCCTGCTGGGTCCCAGATCTGTGTTCTGCCTTTGTCCTCGGAGCTCCGGGAGAAACATCTGTATCCTGCAATTCTTTTAAACTTCCTTGGACGGAGGAGAGTCTCTTTTCATTACAATCAAGAACCCTAACTATTGTAATGAGATTCTCTAAAACTGAGAGCTGGAACTCAAAGCCAGCCTTCCCAGCCCTCGTCATCTTCCTTGATTCACCTGATCAGATCAAAGGGAATGAGGATCATGGCAGAGAGAGGACTATTTATTGAGGCTCTACTATGTGCTGGGTGCTTCTCCATCTGTTACCTTGTTAGTTGTACCATCAGAGTTCAAGGGGAACAACAGATCTACCAGTAATAAACAAGAGCTTTATTATAGGAACTTGACCTTGTGCAGTTGTGGGAGTTAGTCAAATTTATCTGTCCGTGGTTGAGGCTTCTGATGCTGTTGGGCCTGAAGTGAGGGAGGCAGGCTGTCGGGAAAGAAAGGTGATTGTGAAGCAGGTGAGAACAAGGAAGACAATCCACGAGGATGAGCCAGAACCCATTTCAGTCTCTCACCAGTCCCCAGCCTCCAACTGGGATGAGGTAGGTGATTGGTGTGAAGGGCTTTGTCAGGTGGTTACACGTGAACCTGGCCCAGGGTCCAGAGAAACCTCAGGAGGAGCCCCAGCTGTGGCTCCCAGCAGCGGGGCGAGCCAGCCGAGCATAGCAGAGTGTGGGCACCACACAGAAGCTGAGCTTGTGCCCACCTCTCCAGCATAGACGTGGCCACTACTTCTCTTCCACCTTCGCCTCTTGCACACACTTTGGTGGCCAACCCTGACCTAGAGGCAAGAAGGAAGTGGGTTTGACAGAATATAAAGCCACCATGTGAATCCACACCACACAACCTGGCCATTATGGATTTCTTTTCTGTTTAATGGAGAGGAAACTGAGGCTCAGGGTAAAATGACCAAGGTCATATGATGAGAAGGGACTGAGTTGAGAACCTGGTCACCTGTCACAAAGCATGAGCAACTGAGGTGCTGTCATATATAAAATACTTGGAATTCCAGCAGGTCTGGATTCTCAGAGTCCTTTCTCACACCTACCTCATGGGATTGCTGGGAAACCCAGTGAGATGACAAATGTGGGAACACCTGTGTAAGTCAAGTTTCATGTATATTTACATAGTAGCGTGCTAATTTATGCATGCTCATTGCATATATGCAGAAAGTAGATGAAAACGCTCTACAATCTCACCCTGAGTAGATAGATAAAGAAGTTCGTGTCAAAGGGGAGGCATGGTGAGGTCAGTCTTTTTGAGTGGCCGAGTTTTGCCCCACATGTCAGTGAAGAGAGCCTAGTGAGTGATGTGGACCATGGTGATCTACCCTTTCTCAGGGTAGTCAGGACGAAATAGCTTCCAACCAGCGTCTTCTGGTCTCGCCTCACCCCCAACAAATGCCCAGAGTCAAGAATTAATTGAAATCTCTACCTCCCCACAATTAAAGTTGTGCGTGTGACAAACTGAAACGGTATCCATCAGAATTTATCTCATGGGGAGTGGGCATGGGAAACTCTCCTTGTCTGGAAAAATACTTGATCCATCACGAAGGGTAGAAGATGCAGACTCGGTGTTGCCAGGGTCAGGGCACCAAAGAGAAAAGGCTAAACTGCTCTGCCTGAGATGTTTGTTATGCTAAGAACTGTGTTTTTCTCCATGGAGGGAGCAGGAAGGAGAGGGAAGAGCTGAGAAGGGAAGGGATTTGCTGCAGAGAGATTGTGGGCCTGGACCATGTCTGGCAAAGGCCTTGGAGGAAACCCTGATGCTGGAGACGAGATGAGTTTTAAGAACAGGTCTGGGTGATGCAATTTGATGTTGCTTGCAGAATGGTGTACAATGCAACTCCTCCCCGTGACTTCCACAGTTTTGTAGAGTCTGCCATTTTCACAAATGCTCTGCGTGGACTGGCCTTGTTATCTTTGGCAGGGGACAGTGTTGGTGGTGGTGAGGACAGAGCTGTATGGAGACATCTAAAGGGACCCAGAGTGGAACTGAGATAACACTCGGGGAAACAGGAGCCCAAAGCCGGACATGACATTGAGGGCATCAGCCATACTCCTACCGCACCCTGGAAATTCACAGATACCCTAGGGAAACCTTTAACAGGGCTTGGAGCCAAGGGTTCTAGCCAATCTTATTTAGATCTCAAGATGTAGCGAAGTCCCAGTTCACATAAAAACATAAAAGATTACAACTTCAAGAACCATCCCTCAAACACAACAGGAGCAGCATCTGCAGAAGGTTGAGGTAAACATACCCAGGAAGACCACGCGCCCCGGCCCATGGCATGGATCACAATTGGTCTAAGCCAATCTCAACAGTAATGTTCCCCCCTTTCCTAGTTGAAGGTGGCCTCATGATCCAGTTCTGGCTCACGAGCCCTAAACAAAAGTCTGCCAAGTTGGCGGTAGGGTGGACTTGGGGATTCTGAAAGCTTTTGTTTTCTCCTTCTGCTTTGAACACAGACATGATGGTTGGTGTGGTGGCAGCCATGTTATCATGTCAAGGGAGGCATATGTCCTGATATAGTTGAGCTGCTGAGCCAAAACCAGCAGCCACCTTCTTGTTATATTAGAAAAATAAACCTCTATTGGTTTATTGCCACTTGAGTCAGATTTTCTGTTTCTTGCACAAAACACATTTCTAACTGGCACAGAGGTGGATGAAGGAAACTGTTCCCCAAATGACTTGGTTTTACTCATGTTTGAGAATTAAAGACAAATTCAGAGGACAATTTAATCAGATGCCTGGAACCAACAGGCTCGGCTCCAGCCCCAGCAGAGAATAGAAAAGAACTGCCAAATCTCATTACCAAAGGCACAGAACAGCCCTCCAGTGAAGCATCAAAGTTAATAGCGTGTCTCAATCTCATCCACAGGCAAAGCCAAGGCAGCAAAATGAAGCCAGTGATGGATGCTGCCACATCAGCTGTTAACTTGATATGGTTTTAGTCCCTTAATCACCAGCAGCTTCAGATCCCACTGGAGAAATGGACGACGGAACAGGAGCGCAGAGAAAAGGGCCTGCCACCTCCGGCTTACAGGAGCGGGAGCAGCCATTCCTGGGCAAGAAAAATCAACCCAAAACAGGTAACTATGGTCCCTGTGTTATACATGAGAAAACAGACAGGAGGAGAGTTTTAATGCGTTCTTTGAGTTGATCGATTCATTCATCAAACATGTATTAAGTACCTACTGCATACCAGGTCCCATGCTGGGTGTCAGTAAGATATTCTGATTGTAGTGGGGACAATAAACCATGGATACAAACAACTACAACATAAACGAAAAGGATCCTGGGAGTCTTGCCTGAGCACCAAAATGAGTCTTGGGGGGTGAGATGACTTTGGCTTTGTGTTTCCAGTGGACAGAGGAAGCGATTTGATTCTGCTGTGCAGGTGCAGTTGGAGTACGGATCCCATGAATATATGAAAATACAAGGACAGGAGGGAAAGCAGTGGTCTCATCCATGAGGCAGGGCCTCTGCTCCTGACTGGTCCCCAGCAGCTAGAACGTGTTCAATGAATACATTCATTAATCATTGTGTTTAGCTGGCACAGTGATTGAGCCCCTTTGGTAGGTCACTGGAGGGGTGATTGCCCTTTTTCAGAAGGGAGCTGACATCCAGAAAAGAGACATATTGCCCAAGGCCTCAGAGCCATGAATGCTAAGTTAAGATTTGAACCCAAGGATGCCTGAATCCAAATTCAGGCTCTATCCAATACTGCAGTAACCCCTTCCACCAGTCAGGACACCTTCAGAAAACCCAGCTGAAACTGACGAACAGAAAAGGGGATTTACAGGACCAGGTAACCGAATAGTGTAGATGCAGATTCAGGTAAGGGTTACTCCAGCAACTCAAATGATGTCACCAAAGGTTTGCTTTCTTTGGAGCTCACAGCACTGGGAGGCTTAGCTTTTTCTTCTGACTCCATATTTGCCTCATCACAAAATAGGTCTAGGTTATCCCATGTGCACAGTGGTCCCATTGCTCTAGACGACATCGTTCTGCTGTTGACTAAAGGAGAAGGTATGCTCTGGTAGCCCTTCTAGAAAAGAGAGGACAGCTTCACCTGTCCAGAAATCCTGGTGAACATTTTCTTACCTCTCACTGGCTCGGGTGGGTCGTGGTGCATCCCTGAAGTATGCGTCCCCAAGGATGGCTTTTATACACAGAAGAGACTACCTTGGATTAATTTATAATTGAAATGTAACATTAAATATGTGAAGGTCAGAAATTAAAAACCTAGTTCTTTAAACTTTTAAGTTCAACTTATAAATCTTTTTTCTACCTCTAGATCTAAAACTTGATAATAACCAAGTTTCAGGGGGCCTTTGCAATTAAGTTAAACATTTCAAACTGCATTATTAAATTTAATACAGTTAATTTTATTTTTTAGGTACTTTAATTGCCTGTCTAAGAAATAAAAACTTTTATTTATTTATTTTATTTTTATTTTATTTTTGTTACAGATGTTTCTTTTTTTTTTACCCCATTGACACCCTCCTTCCCATCCCCCATAAATATAAACTTTTTTGTTTTGTTTTTTTTGTTTTGTTTTATCCTCACCTGAGGATATTTTTCCACTTTTTGTTCAGATAGAGTGGGAGGGAGAGAGAGGAACACAGAGAGAGAGAGAAACATCGACGTAAAAGGGACACATCGAGTGGCTGCCACCCACACGACCAACAAGGGCCGGGGACAAACTGCAACCGAGGTACATGCCCTTAGCGGGAACCGAACCCGGGTCTCTCTGGACCGTAGGTCGATGCTCTAACCGCTGAGCCAAACCGACCAGGGCTAAATATAAACTTTTAAATACTTGAGCAATGCCTGCAATATTGCTGACTGTTAAGGCTTCTTACATGTTCCAAATCAGTTTACAAACATAATAAAGCCATTTACACTTTTTATTTTTTTATTTTGTATTGATTTTATAGAGAGAGGAAGGGAGAGGGAGAAAAAGATAGAAGCATCAATGAGAGAGAACATCGACTGGCCGCCTCCTGCATGCCCCACCCTGGGGATTTGGCCCCCAACATGTGCCCTGACCAGGAATCAAACGGACAACCTCTTGGTGCATGGGTCGACACGCCACCACTGAGACACACCTGCCAGGCCATTTACACTTTTTAATATAAAATTATAAATCTAAGTTCATTACTTAATTATACTTTGTAATTAGAATCATAAATTAATCTCAACTATTTCAATATGCCAAATAATCTTTAACTTTACAGTTACTTTAAAAATACTAAATATAGCCCTGGCCGGTTTGGCTCAGCGGTTGGAGCGTCGGCCTGCAGTCCAGAGAGACCCGGTTTTGGTTCCCACTAAAGGCATGAGCCTCAGTTGCAGTTTGTCCCCAGCAGATGTTTGGTCATGCAGATGTTTCCCTTTTGCGTTGATGTTTCTCTCTCTCTCTCTCTCTCCCCCTCCCTCCCACTCTATTTGAACAAAAAATGGAAAAACGTCCTAGGGTGAGGATAAAAAATAAAAAATACTAAATATACACAAATTATTCCTAAACCAAACACCAAAAAAATATTCAAATTGTGGGTATAATTTACTTCATTGTTTCTATTACTAGCACTAAAACTTCTTGGAGTTACAAGATTCTTCTCCTCTTAGGAAACACGGCCTCCTGAACAAGACAGGTCCCTGTGTCAGAGCGAAGGGAGCAGGTGGACGCATGAAAGACCAGGCTGGTGATGGGACCTGCTGGACAGTGCAGAGGGCGTGGGAGACTCCAACCACGTAGGCTGTTGTGGGTCATCATAAGGCCATTAGCTCTAAGTGAGAAGGGAAACCCTGGGGATTTTGAGTAGAGAAATGATATTCTCCTTATTTTAAGTGTGGACACGACCCCCAGTTCCTGCCAACGAGTGTGAGAGGAAGTCTGCCTGAGGGCTTCCGAAAAGGTTGTTTTTGATCTTAAAAATAAACAAGAGAAAGAAATTCACCCTCACCTCCCCCACACACACCTTTTTATTTTCTTCTAGACATTGTCCCATGAAGAGGTGATGCCCAAAGCCGTGGTGATGTTCTTGTGATCACCAGGAAGCTAGTTGAAAACAATCTGACACTAAACGTGGCAAAGATGGAACTTTTTAGATAGCTTTATCGAGCTATAATTAATACAGTGGCCATTTCATAGTCACTGGTTTTAAATATATTCACAGAATTGTGCAACCATCCCCTCAAACAATTTTAGAGCTTTTTCATCACCACAAATATAAAAGCTTTACCCATTATCAGTCATTCCTCATTTCCTCTCAACCTCCCCAACCCTAGGCAACCATGTAATTATTTTCTTTCTCCGTAGATTTGCCAATTCTGGACACTTTGTATAAATGGAATCATACAGCATGTGGCCTTTTGTGATGGACCTCTTTTACTTGGCATATTTTTGTTGTTGTTGTTAATTGTCACCCAAGGATATTTTTTCATTGATTTTTAGAGAAAGTGGAAGGGAGGGAAGGATGGGGAGAGAGAGAGAAACATGGATGTGAAAGCGACATGTTGATTCGTTGCCCCCACCACCCCAACTGGGGCTGGGGATCAAACCTGCAACCCAGGTAAGTGCCCTTGACCGGAAGTCTAGCCTGAGACCCCTTGGTGTGCAAGTCGACGCTCTAACCACTGAGTCACACTGGCCAGGGCACTTGGCATATGTTTTTAAGGGTCATCCATGTTGGAACCCATATCAATATTTAATTCCCTTTTATTGATTAATTATATTATATTGTATAAATATATTACATTTTTTAAATCCATTCATCAGCTGATGGACATTTTGAGATATTTCCACGTTTGAGCTATTTATGAATAATTCTGCTATTTGCATTTGTGCACACATTTTTGGTGTAGACATATTTTTCAATTTCTCTTGGTTATATATCTATAAGTGGAATTGCTGGGTCAGATGGCAACTTTGTGTTTAAGTTTTGAGGAACTGCCAGACTGTTTTGCAAAGTAACTATGCATTTTATATCCCCACCACCAATGTACGAGGGTAGCAATCTCATCACATCCTTGCCAATACTTACTGCTGTTTGTCTTTTTGGTTATGACATTCTGATGGTAATGGTAGCTCATGGCTTTGAATTGCATTTTCCTAATACAAATATGCTAGAGGCCAATTGTATATCTTCCTTGGGAAAATGTCTATTCATTCATATATTTGCTCATTTTTAAGCTGAGTTGTTTGTCTTACTATTAAGTGGTAAGAGTTCTTTATATATTCTGGATACTAGTCACATCACATATATCATCTATAGATATCTCCAATTCCCTGGGTTGCCTTTTCTACTTTCTTAGTTTCTGCTGTTCTTTTGAAAAAGAATAGCTTATTGATTTTTTTTTTTTCCAGAAGGAGAGGGAGGGAGGGAGGGAGAGAGAGAGAGAAAGAGAGAGAAACATCTATCAGCTGCCTCCTGCACGCCCCCTACTGGAGTTGAGCCTGCAACCCCGACATGTGTCCTGACCAGGAATTGAACAGACAACCTTTAGGTGCACAGGACAAAGCCCAACCAACTGAGCCATACCGGCCAGGATACAAATGTTAACTTTAATAAGGTCCAATTCATCTAATGTGTTCTTTGTCACTTATATATTTGGTGTCATATATAAGAAAGCTTTGCCTAAGTTTAGGTCATGAAGATTTACTCCTTTATTTTTTCCTGAGTTTTATACTTTTTTTTTTTTTTAATCCTTACCCGAGGACATTTTTCCATTTTTTTTGTTCAGGTAGAGTGGGAGGGAGAGAGAGGAACAGAGAGAGACAGAAACATTGACGTGAAAGGGACACTTCGAGTGACTGCCACCCTGGACCAACCAGGGCCGGGGACAAACTGCAACCAAGGTACATGCCTTTAGCGGGAACTGAACCCGGGTCTCTCTGGACCGCAGGCCGACACTCTAACCGCTGAGCCAAACTGGCCAGGGCTATACTTTTTTTTTAACCCTCGCCCGAGGATATGTTTATTGATTTTAGAGAGAGACAATAGGAGAGGGGGGGAGAGAGAGAGAGATGTGAGGAAGAAACATCAATCTGTTGCCTCTTGTATGCTCCCCAGCAGGGGATCAA